ATCATGTCATCTGCAAATAGTGATAGTTTGACTTCTTCCTTACCAATTTGGATGCCTTTTATTTCTTTGTTTTTTTCTGATTGCTGAGGCTAGGACCTCCAGTACTGTGTTGAATAAAAGTGGGGAGAGTGGTCATCCCTGCCTTGTTCCCGATCTTAGGTGAAAAGCTTTCAACTTCTCACTGTTAAGTATGATGTTGGCTATGGGTTTGTCATATATGGCCTTTATTATGTTGAGGTACTTTCCCTCTATACCCATTTTTTTGAGAGTTTTTGTCATGAATGGATGTTGAATTTTGTCGAATGCTTTATCAGCATTTATGAAGATGATCATGTGGCTTTTGTCCTTCTTTCTGTTGATGTGGTGGATGATGTTGATGGATTTTCAAATGATGTACCATCCTTGCATCCCTGAGATGAATCCCACTTGATCATGGTGTATGATCCTCTTGATGTATTTTTGAATTTGGTTTGCTAAAATTTTGTTGAGTATTTTTGCATCTATGTTCATCAGGGATATTGGTCTGTAATTTTCTTTTTTGGTGGGGTCTTTGCCTGGTTTTGGTATTAGAGTGCTGCTGGCTTCATATAATGAGTTTGGAAGTATTCCCTCCTCTTCTGTGTTTTGGAAAACTTTAAGGAGAATGGGTATTATGTCTTCTCTATATGTCTGATAAAAATTAGCGATGAATCCATCTGGTCTGGGAATTTTTTTCTTGGGTAACTTTTTGACTACTAATTCAATTTCGTTGCTGGTAATTGGTCTGTTTAGATTTTCTGTTTCTTCTTTGGTCAGTCTTGGAAGGTTGTATTTTTCTAGAAAGTTGTCCAATTCTTCTAGGTTATCCAGCTTGTTAGCATATAGATTTTCATACTATTCTCTAATAATTCTTTGTAATTCTGTGGTGTCCATCATGATTTTTTTCCTTTCGCGTTTCTGATTCTGCTTATGTGTGTAGATTCCCTTTTTATCTTAATAAGTCTAGCTAGGGGTTTGTCTATTTTGTTTATTTTCTCAAAGAACCAGCTCTTAGTTTCATTGATTTTTTCTATTGTTTTATTCTTCTCAATTTTATTTATTTCTTCTCTGATCTTTATTATGTCCCTCCATCTGCTGACCTTAGGCCTCATTTGTTCTTCTTTCTCCAGTTTCAATAATTGTGACTTTAGACTCTTCATTTGGGATTGTTCTTCCTTCTTTAAATAGGCCTGCATTGCTATATACTTTCCTCTTAGAACTGCCTTCGCTGCATCCCACAGAAGTTGGGGCATTGTGCTGTTGTTATCATTTGTCCTCCATATATTGCTTGAACTCTGTTTTAATTTTGTCATTTGATCCACTGATTATTTAGGAGCATGTTGTTAAGCCTCCATATGTTTGTGGGCCTTTTTGTTTTCTTTGTACAATTTATTTCTAGTTTTATACCTTTGTGATCTGAAAGGGTAGAATTTCAATCTTTTTGAATTTACTGAGGCTCTTTTTGTGGCCTAGTATGTCATCTCTTCTGGAAAATGTTCCATGTGCACTTGAGAAGAATGCGTATCCTGCTGCTTTTGGGTGTAGGGTTTTGTAGATGTCTGTTAGGTCCATCTGTTCTAGAGTGTTGTTCAGTGCCTCTGTGTCTTTACTTATTTTCTGCCCGGTGGATCTATCCTTTGGGGTGAGTGGTGTGTTGAAGTCTCTGAAAATGAATGCATTGCATTCTATTTCCTCCTTTAATTCTGTTAGTGTTTGTTTCACATATATTGGTGCTCCTGTGTTGGATGCATAGATATTTATAATGGTTATATCCTCTTGTTGGACTGGCCCCTTTATCATTATGCTATGTCCTTCTTTATCTCTTGTTATTATCTTTGTTTTGAAGTCTATTTTGTCTGATACTAGTACTGCAACACCTGCTTTTCTCTCCCTATTGTTTGCATGGAATATCTTTTTCCATCCCTTGACTTTTAGTCTATGTATGTCTTTGGGTTTGAGGTGAGACTCTTGTAAGCAGCATATAGATAGGTCTTGCTTTTTTTATCTATTCTATTACTCTGTGTCTTTTGATTGGTGTATTCAGTCCATTTACATTAGGGTGATTTTCAATAGGTATATACTTATTGCCATTACAGGCTGTGGATTTGTGGTTACCAAAGGTTCAAGGGTAGCTTCCTTACTACCTAACCATCTAACTTTAACTCACTTATTATACTATTATAAACACAGTCTGATGATTCTTTATTTCTCTCCCTTCTTATTCTTCCTCCTCCACCCTTTATATGTTAGATGTTCTATTCTGTACTCTTTTGTGTTTCCTTTGACTGCTTTTGTGGATAGTTGATTTTATTTTTTGCGTTTAGTTAGTATTTGGTTGGTCTGCTTTCTTTGCTGTGATTTTGTTTTCTCTGGTGACATTTATTTAGCCTTAGGAGTACTTCCATCTAGAGCATTCCCTTCAAAATACCCTGTAGAGGTGGCTTCTGGGTGGCAAATTCCCTCAACTTTTGCTTATCTGGAAATTGTTTAATCCCTCTTTCAAATTTAATTGTAATCTTGCTGGATACAGTATTCTTGGTTCAAGGCCCTTCTGTTTCATTGCATTAAATATGTCATGCCATTCTCTTCTGGCCTATAAGGTTTCTGTTGAGAAGTTTGATGATAGCCTAATGGGTTTTCCTTTGTAAGTGATCTTTTTTCTCTCTTTAGCTGCCTTTAATACCCTGTCCTTGTCTTTGATCTTTGCCATTTTAATTATTCTATGTCTTGGCGTTGTTCTCCTTTGGTCCCTAGTGTTGGGAGATCTGTGGGCTTCCATGGTCTGAGAGACTATTTCCTTCCCCAGCTTAGGGAAATTTTCAGCAATTATTTCTTCAAAGACACTTTACATCCCTTTTTCTCTCTCTTCTTCTTCTGGTACCCCTATAATGGAAATATTTTTCCTTTTGGATTGGTCACACAGTTCTCTTAATATTCTTTCATTCCTGGAAATCCTTTATCTCTCTCTGCCTCAGCTTCTCTGTATTCCTGTTCTCTGATTTATATTCCATTAACAGTCTCTTGCACCTCATCCAGTCTGCTCTTAAGTCCTTCCAGAGATTGTTTCATTTTTGTAATCTCCCTCCAGACTTCATCTCTTAGCTCTTGCATATTTCTATGCAGCTCCATCAGCAAGGTTATAACTTTTATTTTGAATTCTTTTTCTAGAAGATTGGTTATGTCTATCTCACTAGGCCCTCTCTCTCACATTGTTTGAGTGACTTTTGACTGGACCAGATTTTTCTGCCTTTTCATCGCAACAGAAGTGATCACTGGCAAGTGGCGTGTGTGTCAGCTGGAAGAACAAAGTCCCTTCCTGCTTCCTGGTTACCTTGTCCTTCTCCCCTGCCTGTGTCAGTTTCCCGCACACAGTGAGCAGTCTCTGGGTTAATCCCCTTCGCTGCCGTGGGCAGGGCAGCCCTCAGGGTAGCTTATCACACTGCTGGGGTTTGCAAGCACATAGCATATATTCTCCTGTGAGAGTGGTACCCCTTCATGCCTTCTGGACTTGGCCCCCACTTGCTCTCCCTGTGCCAGCTAGCTGCACACTGGGCACAGCCTGTTTGTTTGGCCCAGGTAGCTGCCTTTTGGGAGAAGACTCTGTGTGGTTGCTGCAGGCAGGGCTATCCCCCCCTCCACACCCCTCTTCTCCAGCTGATTGGCAGCAATGGCTCATCAGCTGGTTTGCTCGCAGTGCCAGTGGGTGGGGGAATGAACAGCAGGCTGCTTATCACTGTGAGGAGCTTCAGAGCTGCGCTGCCTCCCAGAGGGTTAGGGCGCATGAAGTTCCATAAGATTCCCAGCCTGCTGGGCTGGGTGTGCCACGATGATTTTGTCTACCTGTTATACCGTTGTTCTTTTAAGACTTTTAAAATGCCAGCTTTTCTTTTTTCCCCTGGGGAGCTGGTTGTGGGGACCTGCTCACAGTCTCCATCTCGGATTTTACTTTTCTGTTTCTCTAATATCCAGTACACCATGCGATGTGTGTCTGTACTCCCGGTGCAGATCACCAGGGCTGGTTATTTAGCAGTCCTGTGTTTCCACTCCCTCCCCACTCTGTTTCTTTTCCTCCTACCAGGTCACAGCTTTGAATCTTACCCTTTTTGTGGGATGCTGAGTTCTTGCAGATGTAGATGTAGCCTGGCTATTGTATTGTATCTTCTGGCCTCTCTTTTAGAAGTAATTGTATTTGCTGTATTTTCAAAATATATATGGTTTTGGGAGGCAATTTCTGCCACCCTACTCATGCCGCCATCTTCTCCCCATCCCCTAACCTGGGTTGTTTTTCAAGATTTCCCATAATAAGGTTTCTCCTGGTATCTGCACACAGAGCATCCTTTCCAGTTCTTGTCACCAAATCTCCAAACAGGCTGGACTCCTTGCATCACTTGGACCAACTCGTGGGCTTCCACCCATGCCTTCTCACACTGCCCACACACTGCCCAACTCTTTCAGTCTTCAGGATTCTCATATTTTCAGTTTCTGGGTTATGGCTTCACAAATTCTGCTCTGATTTTCCTTTTTTGTCCCTTTGTTCCAGCCACAATTTATACTCTTTCCATGATTTTTACCTAGCTTAGCCTGAAATATAGTACTTCTGGCAGGTGTCTGCATGAGTGCCTCCTTGACTGTGAACTCCTTCAATGTAGACTCCATATCCTATTTGTATTATTTATTATTTTACCCCAGAACATAGCGTAGAACTTGTAATTACTCAATAGGTAGGTAGGAAGGAAGGAAGGAAGGAAGAAAGGAAGGAAGGGAGAGAGGAAGAGAAGCCAAGTGTGCACATCAATTTCTTAAAAACATTTGTGGTGCAAGTTACACATACTCTTAAAATATAAATAAGTGATGTCTACCCATCAATCAACCACAGTTTTGCGTTGGAAACATTTCTTTAATCACATTCTACCAAAAGTAAACTGTACTTTCCGCAGTCCCTGGTAGAAGGTGACAGAGTTCTTATTTTTTCTTTTCTCTAGGCTTGAGTTTCTTCTTGGGAAATCTCCACCTCTGCAGGCAGCAGCTGCTAATAGCAGAATTTGATGAAGAAGATGCCAGGATCCTATCTGGAATTCACGAAATCCCGGCCAGCCCTACTCACCAGGGTCTGAATCTCCTTTAATCCAGGAAATTTAACTCAAGAGCATGTGGGAACTGAATTCCATGCTCTGCATGTTATTGCAGGTGCTGAAGGCCAAACAAAGCACCTGCTTTTTGCATTTGAGACACACTGAAACAAAGCTCTGTTCTGGGAGCTCCACCCAGACACTTCAAGCAGAAGGCAGAAAGTTTACATCTGGGAATCTGTGGCCTGTGGGAACTGGTGCCCATGTCTTCCCAACTCCGTGTTGCAGACATCAGAGCAATTGATTGAAATAAACCACACAAGAGTGTGGTAGAAAACTGGTGCTGCAGAAATCAGCATATACATCAAGATTCTTCTTTTCTCTAGAGCCAGTCTAAAGTACACACTCTCCCAACCCCATTTTGCCCTGCTCCCCTTTCCCCTCCACTTCCCAGTCCCTCTTGGGAGAGCTGGGTTCCCAAAGAAACACTTGTGACAAACAGAGAGGTCGTGTCTCCCTACGAAGATTAATTTGTCCATTTCCCTTAATGCAGGAAGTTCCTTGGCAGTGTTTTTTAGATAATAGTGCTGAAAGACCACGTCCTCTCTGGCCATTCACAGTGGGTTTATGTGGCAATTGTTTGCTAAGAAGGTGCTGAAATCTTCCCAGAACACACAGTACAAAGATTGACCGAGAAAAGCCTCCCTTAGTGGACTGTGGTTTTAAGAGTCAACATATGCACAAACACGTTCCCATACCAGAAAAACAAATCTTTATTACTTTCCCCTTCTCCTTTTCCCTTCTTCAAACTCCTAAGACCACTCAAGTAGAGAACATTTTGAAATTAAGACAATAAGAAATTCAAGGCCTTCAGCCCAAGGTTTATGTTACGCTGTTGTTAGTACTGTCCCTGAAATGGCATCATTAGGCGGGGGCATGGATGCTAATCAGCGTTACACGGAAGGACCATTCATTTCCAAAAGACCGTTCCAGACTGCAGTGTCTTCCTGGGGTCATATGTCTTTGAAGGAATTGCAAAAGGAAGATTTGTTTTCTTAAAAGCATCCTCCATTATACAAATGTCAAGTTTCAGAAGAACTGGACCGCTCTCCCCCTGGGTTATTTCATATTGCTTTTGCTTAGCTTATTGGAAGTCACAATCTCACTTCCACTCCTACCCCTCGCATTAACTGAACTCCTGCCCTCTTTCCCTCATTCTAACAAATTCTCAAGTAAGTTCTGTGTGATTACTAAGAAAAAGAAAATGGATATTCACTTAACTTCTAAGGGGAAAATATAATTTTATTGGCAAGAAAGTTTAGAGCTCAGTTGCCTTCCAACTTACTAAGTCAAAACACCGATCCTCCCCAAGCCCTCAGCCTACTGCCCACAAGTCAACTTTCTTTCTTAGCCTGGTTACATTGGCCTTGTCCTTCAGGCTCAGCTTTCTTGTCTTGGGAGCCCCTCCTAGGTGAGTGGCCCCTCCAGTGAACTCCCACCTTGACTTCCCCCTACAGAGGACTTATCCCACCATTTGTAATGGACTTACCACACCATTAAAGTGTGAGCCCTAAGGGTCCTGTGTGTGTCATAGAACATTACCTCTCAGAGTGGCTGGCACAAAACCAGACCCCAATACATACTTATTGAGTGGATACCTGAATGAACAGAAGAATACTCTTCTGAATTGGGAGTCAGAATACCCAAACTCTGGTTACATCTCTACTACTAAGGAACTTGGGAATATTGAACAAGCCCATAAATTCCCTGAACCACATTTTCCACATACAGATGTTCACAGTGGGGATCCCAAGTGGGCCCCAAGCTAGGACTGTCTCTAGGGCCTCATACATCTGGAGCCAGTCTTCACAGGAAGGAGAGAGGCACCTCCTAAGGGAGATTTCCTCCTAAGGGAAGACAAAGAGGGGCAGACAACTGGGTTTTAGAGAGGTTGGTTGGTGCGGAGGAAGGCCGGCTGCATTCACACTACCTGGGCCTGTCACTTTGGTGGTTCTCTAGCCCAGGCCACATGAGATATGAATGAGTAAGCAAAATTTGTTTTCCATTTGTTTTGCTTCTGCTAATTGCTTCACTGGGCTTTGGGATATCAACCATTAGCAGCATTAGTATTGGGGCAGAGACAAGGTATGACCTGGGGGCTCTGGGACATGATGGCTTGGCAATGTCAGCAGCGGTGAGGGACTGTTTGGTGCACCCTGGAGGTAGACAACCTCTCCTGATAAAATAAGGAGCTGAAGACACCACCACAGTGAGATGGAGCAGCAGAGAAGGAAAATGGCAGACATCTAGTGTGATAAGAAGACAATTCACAGAATATCACACACCTCGGACATGTGCAAAACTCTAAAGAATGTAAGGAGGCTCTACATCTCGCAAAATTGGAGGTAGGTGGTTTTGCTATTACCATGTAAACCTCCTGTAATTCCAAGGTGTGGACTAGAATGTGATTTGGGGGTTTATTTGGAAATCAAAATTATTAATCATGATCCTTATCCAAAGAATATAATGCATATTCATACCTCAGATATTAGGAAACTGGACAAAGTTAAACTTAAATCTCACCATGGCTGTGAAATTGTGGGGGTTAAGTTTGGAAGCTATTTTTTCTTTTCCCAATGCAGTGGAAAGCCTTCAGAACTGGTCTAGTATCCTAACTCTGATACTTAATAGATGGGTTAAATTAGTCAAGTTATTTAGCTTATTAGAGACTTAGTTTCTTAACTGGAAGATAGGGATAATAATATCTACTTGACAGGGGTGATGGCAACATATATAAAATGCCTAGGCAAGTTTCTGGCCTTTGGTGGTTGCTTGATAAACATTAGTTGCCACCCCCTGCCTTCATCTCCACCTAGTAATAAAGGTTCCCCACACCCACACTAATAGAAGGTCAATGGAGAAAGGGCATAAGGGTCAGAGGAAATAAACTTCACGTGGTTCTAGAAGTTTCCTTTTTACATTCATTACATTTTTTAAGGAACTGAAAATTCTATGAAGTATAGAGAAAAGGGAAAGGTTTGGTTTTTACTCACCCAGGACAATTCTGTGTCATTTTTTCACTTCAACCTTCTTCCCCCTCCCTTCCCTCTCCCACCTGGTCCTGTGCTCACACTTAAGTTATTGGAGGTTTTAGCTGTGGGCATCTCCTCCACCACATCAAGGCAATAGGTCCCATAGGAATCATCACAAAGCCTGTTAAGAACCCACTGGTGTTTTTCTTTCTTTTTCAGGTTATGCACATGTAACATTTATGTATATGTAGAGATGCTTGCTACCAGTGGATTTTATTAACTTATTAAAATGATTAACTTTTCCACACAGACACTAGTAAAGTTCCTAATGGGAAGATAAGCCTAGGGCCATTGTGTTTCATTCCAAAAGAATCCCATGCAAAACATATTCCCCATTCAAACATTTCCTTAATTATACATACCTTCCTTATTGACACTTGCCTTGATTGTGTTCCAGTGAGTGGTATGGAGCATGTATGAGCATGTGTGTGTACACTCACAAGAGGTTTTACATGTTGCAATGAATAGAATGTGGTTTGGGGTTGTGGTAGGCCTGCGTTTAAACTCCATTTCCATCACTCACTCACTCACTCACTGTGACCTTGAGCAATTCATATCTCTAAGCTTCAGTTTTGTTAATTTTAAAATGGGATTTGGAAGATTTATGCACAAAGCACCCCAAAAAATGGTAGCTATGCTATTAATATTCCTAATAAATGAAGCAATATGTTAAATATTACATATAGACATTATTAACAAACAAGTATTAGGAAAAACTTTGAAAAAATAACTGGAAATATCAAATGACTTTGATAGTAAAGACCACAGAAATTGCCAGAAAGTTTCTACAAATTTTTTGCTAATCAAGTCCAAAGGGAGGCAATTTATTAAAAAGTTATTGCTTTATCAGTCCTTTCCAATTTAGCCATTGGGAGGTAATAGTAAAAACAATATCGATTCCTTAAACTTACTGGAAGTTACCAGTGCATATCCTCTAGAACCTGCTGTCTTTAGGAGAGAAACTCTGGCTTATCACAATTGCCTCTTCCAAAAATGATCTGGCAGAAAACAATCTCCTGCCTGGAATTCACAACATTTCTTCGTTTGTGAAAACAAACAAACAAAAAAAGTTCATTTCCTCCAAAATCTTCTCAGGACCTTTTCTTGGACTTATCTCCTAGGAATCAGTTTTCCCGTAGCCTTCTTCATTCACTTTCGCCAGAAGAGCAGGAAGATACTCTTGAAGGTGGAGATGCAGCATTGGAGGTACACGGTAATGCCACCTGGATGTTTCGTGATTAAGTCTGAAAGGATTTAACTAAACTCTCTAGAGTAATTATTTCTGGCAGATGGTTCTGTGAGTGATTAAGCAGTTATTATCATTATTATTTACTTATCTATATTTTCCAGTTTTCCTACAACAAATATTTATTACTCATGATATAAAAAAATAATGAAAGTTAAAACAAAAAGCATGGTGAGGTCAAATTTGCAAACAAATACCCTTTTCTCAAAGTTTGGGGCTGTTCTCATCTTGAGTTGCCTTTATGGGCTCTGCCCTGGACTTGCATCACCTTCCTAAATTCTCCTGACCACATCTACTCAAGTTGACTTTCTTACCCTCAAGGAAGCAAAGCCCGGGGTTTAATAATTTGATCAAAGTCTCATAGTTAGGATGACACAGTGCCAGGAGAACTGTTATTAAATTAAAAGCCTCACTTTTAAACACTCTACAAGTAGCTGGCAAGTGGGGATTTGAACAGGTCTGTATTTTTAACCACTGTTGTTTCTTCAGACATCTTCCTAAGGTGAAAAACTCAGTCTGACCAATGTGGTTTCTTTTTATAGCCCCAGTTAACATGATGGAAAACTACTAGTTTTCCCTTTGATAGTTGAATGGCTAGTTCTTTGTTTTGAAACCGATGGATTTTCTTAGATAAAATCCTCCATTACATCCATGATCCAGAAACTCTGTTTTGCCAACTATCTTGAATTCAGTTCTAAGCATTCTCCCCATTCATAGCTGAAAAGGCCCTTCCTAAATCCAGACCATCCATAAAGGTTATCTTTGTTCTGAAATTTGTAAAGAAGCTTCCAAAGATCCTAAATGACAAGATAATATGAAGGAGATGGTGGCACAGGGAGATGCATAAAGCGAACTCCAAGATAAGGCCAATTAATACAAAGAAGAAAGAATGTAAATTTAATACACATTCACAGTCTAATACACATACGCCACTAGCAAGTAACTAAAGAAGAAATGACTTAAAATGATATTTAGTAAATGCCTAATATTCTAAAAAGTTTTGTAGGCAGAATTTGAAACTCTTAGTTTTCACTGAGTTGCAATTTAATGACCAGTAAGTACCTTTAAGCCAGAAACATTCTGACTTCCTTTGAGTTTTAAAAACTTGTCCCTCAGTCCTTTCCCTTCCATGCTTATATTTCCTCTCCTCAGTCTTTGGTCTTGCTTTAAAAAAAAAAAATCTTCTATTTATTTTCATTCAGTTCAGGGTGAGAAACAAGGGGTTACTTCTCTCTTGCCTGTTTACAGAACCAATATCAAGTTTAATTGAACAGCTAAGGAATGATTTTAATGGCAGCAAGGATAAATTCATCCAACTGCCAAGGAACAGGTTATAAAACCAGTCATGCTTTTAACACAGTACCAGGTTTCAGTTTGGGAAGTTGGATTTAAGAGTAACTAAAATCAGTGCCTGGGGCTATGGGGTGGGGAGAAGAATCTCACGTGCTCTGCCTTCATCACACTCAGTTTAAAACCCACCCCCCCACCCCCCCAGCCTAAATTTCAAGCAGAATTATGTGGACAGCTTGAGAATGAGACACTAAGGAATTTGAGGGAATTGGTAGAGAACGAAAGACCGAAAGTCATTGGGTCAAACTGCAGAGATGGCTGGGGAGCCACCAGTTTGATAACTGGCTCTGCTCCTCTCTGAAGACCATCTGAGTTCTGCACAGAGAGATGTGGGATTTTATTACTGTTTATTCCTTGACCTAGAGCCAAAATAAGCCCTGAACTGAACATCCAGCTTTGCATCTAACGCATTTCGGTGTCTCCACTGTGGCATAGGAAAATACTTTTTTCCCCTTGTTGCTATGTATATTGGCAAATATCCTATCCAAAGAATTGTGCTCCAAGAACTCTGGAAACACCTGCCAGCAGAAAACTTGGGAGCTTTGTTTAAACAAATGTGCCTGCCAACTTTCCAGTACTGTCAACTTTGCAGGATTGAAAAACGTGGACTATTTTAAAACCCACTTGATGGATAACAGGAACTGAGCCATGGAGATGAGGCACGGAATGTGCCTACAATCATGTTTATCTTCTTCTTCTTTTTTTTTTTTTTTAACATTCTGCAGCCTGAATTTTGTGCAAGGACACTGCCATGTTCATATCTCCCTTTAGCACCAATTCCACCATGTGGCTATGAATGGGGAGAATGCTTAGAACTGAATTCAAGATAGTTGGCAAAACAAAGTTTCCAAGGAACACTGTAGTAATTTGAAATTCCACCATGTGGCTATGAATGGGGAGAATGCTTAGAACTGAATTCAAGATAGTTGGCAAAACAAAGTTTCCAAGGAACACTGTAGTAATTTGAAGCATTGGGCTCTGTGACATCAAAAAGACATCCTGTAGGTCATCATGAGAATATTCTTTTTGCAGTATCTTCTATAGCATACTGTCAATCATCTTGCGTGGATACTCTTGAGTCTTTGAGAGCAGTTCTAAGACTGAGTGCTAATTGGATTCTCATATAATGAATGATACCACTCTCATTACCCCCTGTCAAATTAACTACCATAGATATTTGCCCAACAGGCAGGGTGGTGTCTTGGGATATTAAATAAAGGCATTTGGATGCATACAGCTTAATAGTTAGCATTTTAAAAGTTACCATGCTCAAGTATTTAGAGGCATTTGTTTTTATTCTGGTGAGCAGAGTGTGACTGTCGCAGTCACTGAACTGAAGTCAGCACAGGAGGTGGAAGGACTCCAAGTCCCCACCTTGCAGAGTGTAAGGGGGTCCCACTAGCTCTAGTTGCTCCTTGGCTGAGCGTGATATGGAGATGTTTTCTGGATAGGATCAATGCTGCTACTTCAAAATGAGGACAGTGGTCTGCTTTGTGTGGTCAGAAAGAATGTGGAAAACCTCTTTCTCAATGTGTTTGTCTTCTGGCCTGCCATAAAAGTCCCTCCATTTTGAGTTATTCCATTATATTAGGCTCCTTTGGATAGTCGCTTGGCAACTTAGATCCTCAGTTTCTTCACCTATAAAATTGGGTATTGGACTATGTATCATTTAGCTATCACCACAATACAATGCGTACACTGATGATTATAGGCTAACTGCCCTACTTGCCATTGGCTAAAGAAGCAAGTCACCTGATTAATCCCAAAGTCAGGGAGTGTGGAAATACACTCCATCTGTGAAGACACCAAGGCAGGGGTATAGTACGGGGAGAGACCTGGGTTCTAAACTTTGGGGTTCTTACAGCTATTATAGAGATTTCCTGATTACAGTCTGTTACGGAATCCCAAAATTAAAAATGTGTATATAAAGCTACCACCATTCTGCAGGTCCTCTGCATACTGGTTTTCAAACATTAACACAGGTAAGTATCATAGTGTGAGTTAAGTCATTTAATTTATATGCTGTAATTATGGCACTGTGGCCCTCTGTAAGACATTCTGATTTAGTAGAACTGAGATGGCTGGAGGGTGACTATTTTTAATAAAAAACTCCAGAGGATGCTGGTGCAAAGGCTTTGTGGAACCCACCTACTTTAGGATCCCAGGATTCTAAGCAACACCTCTTTTTGGACAGCATCCATGGTACCAAGTACCAGCACTGTTTTGCTGAGTCAGGCTGCATATATCTGCTGAAATCTATTCCTGTTCCTATCCCAGCTGATGTGTCTGGCAGGGCCAGCAAGGCCACCAGCCAATGCAAACAGAGAAGGTGGAAGCAGAGAAGGAGCAAAACCACCTTATCAAGGTGTAAATACAAATATCTGAAATTTTGTTTACAACATTACAACTAAACAAAGACAAGTGCTGATTTTAAGCATTGTTTCTGGAAGGTCAGAGTTCATAAGTGATTATCCCAGGCAGTAAAAAACTCAAGCAAACCCTCAGTCACTTGATGTATAATTTATTGTCCACCAGAGAAACAGAAGCAGTAGGATTATGTCTATGTCTATCTATCGTCTATATATATCATCTCTATCTCTATCTATGTCTTTATCTATATTTATACTTGTCATCTATATATATCCATCTATCACTACATCTATCTATCATCATCACTGTCATCACCTACTTATATCTATCTGTCACCTACATCTATCTATCATCTCTCTATCTGTTTATCATCCATCTGTATCTATCTACTTGCACAACTGTCAATCATGGGGGCTGGCTATACTATTTAAAATCTATAGGGCAGGCCCTCATGTCAGGAGGGGCAGGCTGGCCCTCGTAGGCAGGAGCTGGCACTGCAGTCCACAGGCAGAATATCTTCCTGCCAGGGACACCTCAGTTCTGCCTTTAAAGCCCTTTAACTGACTGAGTCAGGCCCAGCCAGATTAGAGGATAATCTCCTTTACTTAAAGTCAACTGTTTATAGATATTAATCATATCTACAATATACCTTGCCAGCAGCACCTAGATTGGTGTTTGGTTACAAAGCCACACCAAACTGGCATTTAAAATTCACCATCATAACTGAGGATTCCTCTCCTTGATTTTTGCCACATTTCTGTGTTATCTGTATTCTTCCTTACTATTTGCTATTAAATTAACTCATTTCCCCCCTAGTTTTAGCCCTCTTCTAAATAGCAATAACTGTGAAATTACTGACTCAATGTGCTAGTTATGCAGACTATAAATAGAAAATTAATTATAAGTATTAAAATGTCACAGTAAATAATTTTCCATACCCTCTTGGAAACACTAGATTCATCAAGTCAATTGCCAGAGAGCTGCATTGAAGAGTTTGCTTCAAAGAAGGAAGGAATTCTAATGAGCAAAGGGAAGTCTTGAACCAGTTGGCCAACCTAGTCACGGCAAAATCCAGGAATATATTTTCTGTTAGAGAAGGCCTTGGAGAAGCCTGGTGTGTGAGGGGCTGGGGGTTGGGTGTGAGACCCCATTTCTGAGAATGGAGAATGGAGGAATCCTGTGGACTTTGTGGTGGAGGAATCCTGTGGACTTTGTGGCAGTTTAATATATTTTTTGAGGAATGACTT